CCACTTTCGGTATATTGCGGTGTCCAACCTGACATATCCTGAAACAATCTGATTGCGCGGACGGTTTTGTTTTCGTCCAGATCGAACCAATGCTTCGTGCCTTTCGGAACACGAATCAGGTCGCCCGCAGTCATTTTTACAGCCGTTACCTCTCCTTTTTCGGGCGCGATATGAAAAATTCCGCAACCCTTTACGATAAAACGAACTTCGTCTTCGTCGTGCCAATGTTCGGGACGAAATCTGTCGAGCATCGTTTCGAGATTCGGCGTTTCGGGCACGATATTTATCACATCCGCGGTGACATATCCGCCTTGTCGTTTTAATTTTTCAATTTCGCCGGAATACGCTTCAAGAATTTCCGTTTCCGAAGCATCCGCCGAAACGTTTTTGACATTTTCCCAACGCTCGTAATCAATATTTATAGAAGCGAGATACGCTTTTATTTCGCTTTCATCGGTCAAAATTAAGTTTTTATCGGGAAGTGTTATAACTGCCATAATTATTTTTCCGTAAATTATTTTCGCACAATTTTAGCGGTCGTGATAACTTGCCCAACGTGCCGTGCCGTGTGTTCGGCGATGTGAAAAAGCAGACCGAAAACATTTGTCGGCAATTTTTTGCGCCCGACGAATCTTTCCTCGAAAAGAATTTCAGGAGAAACAATTTTACAAAATTCGAGTGCGTTTTCGATTGAAAGAATCGCCTGATCGCTTAATTCTTCTGCCGATAATGCGGAGGTTTCCGCTGTTTCCAGTTTTAGAAATTCAAACTGCTTTTCACTCAGATTTTCGCCTTTTGCGTAAGTCAAAAGCCGGTCAACGCTTCCGGCAATATGACGCAGATGAAAAGCCGCAGACGGCGCAGTATTCGGTTTTGCCAAAAGCTCTTCGTGCGTTAAATGTATCTTTTCCAACTCGACAATCGCTTGCACAAGCGCGTGTGCTGCCGGCATCATCACAGGTGAAAATCCGCCTAACTTTCCGCTCAACCATGCTTCTTCACTCATCACTTCTCCACATTAATTAAAAGTTATGCAGTCGAACAAACTTCAGTTTGTTTAATTCTTAAAGAAATCACAACGCATCTGGAAACGAACGGCTTTTGAACAAACTGAAGTTTGTTCGACTGC